ATGTACTCCACGCGGAAGCGCACCCACCCGCCGTAGAGCGACTCGAGAAGCCCCCGGACGCCGAGGGACGAAGGAAGAAGCAAATGTTTCGTCTCCGCGGCGCCCAAATGCCAGCCTTTGAGGTACGCCGCCACCTCGAGCCCGAGCAGGACGACGGAGAGGCAGAGGAAGGCCTTGATGCAGGAGTAAAATCGCGACCGCTGCAAAGGGCTCTCCTCCGGGGAGAAGACGGCGGCGTCGGAGTCCGTCCGACCGGACGCGACGCGACGGCGCACGGCGGACGTGACGCGGACGGCGGCGGAGGCGAGGGAGGTGAGACAGCCCGCTGCGCGGTGGGCCTTGAGGAGGAGCACCCACGTGATCTGCTTCGCGTTCCTCTCCCGGGCACCCTTCCTCGCCCCTCTACCGGCGGCGGCGAACTCCTCGCCGGCAACGACGGCACACTCATCGTCGTCGTCAGGGGACGATATCTCCGCGATGGACCAGTTGGGGTTCTGCATCTTGACTACCACCGGCGTCCCCCGGTGGGCCTCCTCGTTCCACCACCCGATCGGCGGCGCCATTACTTACCTTCCCTACTTTTCGAACACGATCAAGAACCAAACTTTCTTATATACCCGGCGTCGGGGGTTGACTTACACCTCGGATCCGAGCGGTTGTCGGCCGGAAGCGAGGGTCACGACAGCAATGCGACTTCCTCCGCCGGAAGCGCGCGAAAAGGCGGGACTTTTGCCTCAGAGGCTGAGAGAGGAGAGTATGTCTAGATAGGAACAGGAGCGTCTACTTTATAGGCGCGGCCATCTCTAAGACGGGCACGACAAAGACAACCCGAGGAAGGGAATACAAGAACAGCTCAGCACGTCCACTGCCGATCTGTACATAAGAAAACACAATTAAAGAACAGGAGAGAGATGGAAAATAAAGCATCAGAAAGTTGAGATTTTTACTGCCTCTCACATCATTGGTGCGCCGAATTAAGACACACATGGATCGAGCTAATCAATCAGTCAATTAATCTCATCATCATCTGAAGAACTCGGGAAGATTAATGAGGGACAAGGAAAGATACGGTAAAAATCTTGAAATGACTAATCAACCACATTCAATCAATAGCTGGGATTGACATCCTACAACTGGTCAAAAGAACTTATCAAACTGTGGTATCCAATCATGCTTTTGTTGCTAAAGATAAAACAATAAAAAGTCGAGCCTTTAATAGCTGGTAATCAGAGCTTTCACGGTGGAGAACGGTGCAGCGTGAGCACCGACACATGAAGGTGACAACAGACTCGTAGTAAGAGGTGCTTCTTCTTGATGACAGCTACAGCTAACACACAAATCAATAAGCCGACCGCACTAATTTTGTACTGTTATGCAAAAACAGATCATAATCTTTATAAGAACTAAATAATAATAACACTAAATAATAATCAAAAAAACATTAATTAGGCCATCTGGCACGTCGAGAAACCTTTCCGAGACGAGCGGCCGGCGCTGGCTCGACCGGACCGGTTCAATCGCCGGTCTGTCATGGAGGAACACATCACTACAACACAGATCATGATGCATCGATCGGCCTTCACTGTGAGATCACAGAGTCTTCCTTGTTCGTCTTATCACCTTAAAAAATGTCCTTCAGCTTGTCAACAAAACTGCTCTCTGTTTGTCTTCTTGCCACTCTGGTCCGCAACTGTGTAAGCCTAACAAGTGTATATATATATATATATATATATATATATATTCAAGAATTCCTTGGTAAAAGGTTGAGGATGCCATGTGTTGGACTGTCAC